TGGAGCGGACTAGGGTCCAGCCACCGTCTTGTGTGCGCTTAATTTCCCAAATACAGCGTGCTTGTGTTTGCTTGTGAAGGAGTGTTGGCCAGGTCCGTTGATGAAACGTGGTTCCCATCCACATGCCTCGCGGTCTTATTTCTTCGGGTTTACACTGGATATTGGGTATGTTTTTGGAGCTGTGTGTGATGCAACGCAAGTCACCCGTGGTCCCTCTGTAGGCGCAGGCGTCCTGTTGCTGTCCACAGGGACAGGGAAATCCGAAAGCGGATGCCGCTAACCACCTATATATATATATATATATATATATATATATATATATATATATATATATATATATATATATACATATATATATATATATATATATATATATATATATATATATATGGTCTTGGAGGGTACGATGCATCTCATGTCTGCTTTCGAACTCAGTCTTGCGCAAGTGAATTTTAACGGTTTTCCGCCATATTGTCCAGGTGCTATTGAGCTTTAGCCTATTAGTAGGAAAACGTTTATGCATATCTTGCTTGCTCCGGCTCGTAACGGATGAAACGCTCTTCATTGATAATACTCAAACCGTGAGGTAGCTACCTGGGTTCGCCTTGGTATGGCCTAGGGGACGTAGACGCCAGATTGGTGTACACGCGAGCTAAGACTGGAGGCGAAGCACGTAACCTAGCACGACCACATTGAGGCCTAGAAATCTGATCGATTAGAAAAGTTTGTTTACCGACTAAGCCAAAGGCGAACACGCCCTCTTAACCTTCACATGTATAACTCAGTAGTCTAGCTGTGTTATGCATATACTAGAGAGGAGGTTGTATGTTGCTTAGAGTCGTGAGTGACCATGTCGTGGCAGTGCCTTGAGGAAAACAGTTGAGGTCAGTGTAGCATGTGACGGCATGTACAGGGGCGTCGTTCAGGAGACCTTACGTGGAGTTTGTGCTGTTTGCCTTGGTACATGACAGCGACTTCACTGTGCAGTTCGTCTGCATCGTGACTGTATTTCCAAAGTGAACTCTGCACAATTTTTGCGGAGACATGTAAGCAACAAAAACACTAAAAATTATCTGTGCTTATCCACTACCCTAATCCAGATGAGCGTGTGATCCATGTACTGATGCTTCCCACGCCTATATTTTTGAGGGAAAATGTCATTGACCTTTCCTAAGTTCTCGATGAAGAGGACAGTGTCAGTTGTATGACTTCTAGTCACCTTGGTATCAATGCATCCGATACACAGAATGATCTGCCCAGGTGCGCAAAAAATATCACATTTCCTTGAAGTCCAGTTTTCTCGCAATAGCCGCTGGCCTCCTTTCTGAGTGTATATCTATTTCCCCTATCAGACGGTAGCTGACCTGAAACAGGTCCGAGATTTTCGCTAAACTCAGATGTCATTGAAGAATTTGATCAGCGTCCTTACTTCTGTACGTGCTATTTAGACTGCACTGTTACCTTGTATCACTTGTAGTACATAACCTCACAACGTGATCTCTGATGAGTCATTCACCTTTGTGACAGTCGTTGCTCGCAGCGGTCGGTGACTTATTTTTATAGACTTCAGCCGACATGCCGAATATCCCTTCATCTCTTCATAATGTGTGCAAACAAGGACGAAATCGACCGTGGAGTGTAGTGTTTTTGTGATCGATCAACACTTGGCATTCGTATGCTTGAAATGCAGTCCATATGATCGAATCGGCTGAAATTCACTTGAGCGTGAAACATGCTCGCCATTAAAACCGTGTCGCAAACTACCCATCCAATAATCCTATTTTAAGCACCATGCACTATTTATTTGGCTACTGATCAATAAGGAGTAGTGTGAACTCTAACGAGATGTGCAGTCAGAGTGGAGCCTAGAAAGTAGGAATCATATCCGTAGCAAGCCTCATTGACGCTTCGCTTCCATGCGACTGCCAGCAGTCTCTCGGGTTGGAGATACTGCGAGGTGGTCTATGCCTTCCTACGCAGATTCGAACCGGTGATTTCTGGGTTACGGGGCAGACGTCTCATCCCCTTCAGAGAATGACTTAGCAAACGACTGAGCTCGGGAGAATCTTGAAATGCATTGACCATACGACAGAATACTGTAAACCGCACAAACTATAGCAACAGACTCGATAATTAGCTCACAGTTATTGATAAATAGCAAATTCACTGTAACTGGAGACCTCTGAGTGTCTGACGTGTTATCATTTTCAGGGCAGGTATGACAAACAGCTTGGGGCAAGTGGCTTCACCCTGGGATGAGTCGCACGTTCCGCAGTTGTAGATCTGGGGACCACACATAACTGATCAGTCCGATCGTGCGATACCACTATGCTTGTCATGAGAGAGGAAATTGAATATTTGGAGAACTTAATGTTTCGGAGTTCTCACGTTGTCTGAATACGCCATCTGAAAAACGTTTGTAAGCCTCACATGACGATGCTCAACCACCGGCAAGAACCAGCACACGATGGACCAGGCGACAAACCCGTTTAAGTTGATAGGTAGCAGCGGAAGACATAGTTATTGATAACTAGCTACTGTTGAGTATTAGTGTTCTTTTCACCGTTGAAAGTAAACATGATAGTAACTGCCGTGAAGGCTAAGGTTGCAATGTTTAAAATTCCCCGGTTTGGGGTTCAGCAAACGCGTTTCACTTGGAAGAAAAACACGAAAAACTGCATTCGCCTTCAACCTCATCAAAAAAGCTCGAAGCATCCTGAAGATTATTTCAAGGGAGATAAAACGCTTCCAATTTTCGTGACGTTTGATCGGAGTAAGCGACGATACTCTGTTCAGCGCATAACAGAGCTAGTTACTGCAGCACTGGAAGACAAACACCTAAAGAAATTAGTTTGCTTTTTTAGTGTTATCGATCCCTGTAATAAAGAACGGAAACTATTGACTGGACTCCATCTCAAATAAACCAGCACGTAGTTGCCTATGATCCTCCCCAATTGAAGGTGCTCATCCGAGACAACCAAAAGAATGGTGAAAAACGTTTCATTTTTGTAGGGCTTATTATTTACGTTGCCCAGTAAAACGTACGTCAGGAGCGGACCGAGTAGGATCCTACGGTTGAACAGTTAAGCAAAAACTGTAGCATCATGCCTCGGACAGCTCACTCAAAAAGCGAGTTGTATTTTTCGTTGCACATTTCAGTTATCCAAGTAAATTCCGGTCGTCCATTTACAACGTAGCCGACTGGTGTGAATCAAGTCCCAACAGGAATAAAATGAATGACAGTTGGGAAAGATAAATAAAGAAAAGGCGTATAATTCACCGGACGGAAACTGAAAGGAAACAGGATACACAAGATGTTGTGGGATAGATACCAAGCACAGATGATAGGTCACAAGAAAAGAACCGGTAGCTTCGTGACTGCGCTATATCAAAAAGCCACCAACTGACCTAATTAGGTTGTGCAGTGAGTTCTTGCACGCCTTTTCGCCAAGCCGTCGATTGATCACTCTGAAACTTCATCAAACGGGGCCTAGTAGTTGTAGACAACATCGACCTAACGAGGCTGCTGGCAAGCTTCCAAGAAACATGAGCTGATCAACACAGAAAGTTTGGTTTTAGCAGGAGATTTCGTAGTGGCGTATGATTGTCAACTGTGAAACACTACCTACTGGACCTCTGTATAGTGATACTACCAGATACGATCTAAGGGGACAGAAGAGAACAGATGGCCAACTTAGTGGTCCTTTTTCTCCTCATAACAACAATCGTCATGTTTTAGACATTACACATCACTTATATAGCGGACAATCTACTATTCCACCACTTCCACACGTGAACCAAGTCTGGGAAAGGCACATGAGTACAACTGATTCACGTAGTTATTGTTTGGGTAGTTTGACCATAAAAGAAGAGAACCACACGAAAATGGTGTAAACAAGTCGCATGTTAATCTAATACTACAATAGTACATCGCCGTTTGTGAGCGTGAAGCGCTTGTGAAGGCGCATAACGCGGTGCCAAGAGGTTATGTCTAACTGCAAAACTTTAACATGCAAGTGATGGGTTACCAAACACTGCGTATTAATAACAATAGTTGAACCATTACGTTAGTAAGCTAAGACGATTTCTGCAGAAAATAACGAAGTGACCTCGGTAGTTCGAAAATCACAGTTATGTTGGTTCAGTGGCTGATAGCAACCGGATGCTAGAGTACTGAGTTACGTGCAAAAGATCTTGGTTAGCACACTAATATTGCAGTTTAAGACAAATCATGCTTTGCCGAATATGACTTTTTATCTCGGTCTACTAGCGAACAGGATCGTATCCTGATTAAGATAAGGGGTGAACAAATTTAGTGTGAATTTGCAGCACACGGTAAGCGATTGAACTGTGACACGCAAGTGCAACCAACAATGAAGCAAGCCTCTATCAGTGGAGTCATAACCACGGCTGGGTGCACTCCAAGAATGCTGTTATCCCATAGTGAACTTATTCGTAAATATAACTGGGTCACGTGGCAGTTGGCTAATCCCGTCATCACTAAGCTATCGAGCTGTACGCACAGAATCCGTGATACCCGTCGGAATTTACGCCGAAGTTGTGTGATCAAAAATATGAATGCCTAGGGGGAATGCGAAGATAAACCCACTGTGGAAGATTGCATTTCACAATACACTGCTGAATAGCGAGACTTCCGGTTCTGCGCCCTCTTGCGTCTACCTTGAATAACTTCTTCTGAGACCATACTTGAGACTTCATGCACAACTCTCTCCCTCTGTTTATATATATATATATATATATATATATATATATATATATATATATCGGATTTGTTCTGTTCCGCTGTTAACAACTAAGTATATCGTTTCAAACCAAACCAAAATATCTTTCCCATATGTACACGCATATGTAGTCAAAAATTTCTCCGATGAGTGACCCATTCCCCGATGAATACGTTATCCTAAGTTTGTCAACCCAATATTTTATCGCACCCCTGATCGGCCTGTTTGCCACACTTAATTTGCTTACATCCCTTACAGTCGTTCGTTATTCCAAGTGGACCATACGGTAGCTCAAATCGACGAATTGAACGGGACAGGTCGCCGAGAGCAAATGGCTCAGCTTCCTTCAGCGCTCGACGAGTCCGCTCTCGCAGTTCGAGCGTGAAAAAGTCTCATCTCTCACGTGACAGTCGGCCTGCTCGATCCAGACGATCGCCAACCAGTCGCTCTCGTTCCTCCACCAGTCCAAAGGGCGAGTCCCAACGGAGACGAATGGATCTCGGTTCGAAGCCCACGCGTTATGCACGCCCGCGTTCGCGAACACGATCACCTGAACGTCGAGCTATCTCTCCACCGCTCGGCCGTTCTCGCGATCGGCCACATCGTTAACACCGCATGTATACCGACTCACCGTGTACATGATTTTCGTCTAGCTGTTTCATGTCTGTTCCATCTTACTCATCTCCCTCTGTAATGTCCGTTTTCCGAATATCTGGACTTGGTACATTTGCAGCACTTTTCGTTTTCTTCATTTGTGCGCATAGGCGCCTCTGTTGTCGTGTCGCAGTCTCTCACACGTAAGCTGGACAAATGTGCCAATCGTCTCACTTCATACATTGGTAGGCGCCTATGCGGAACGCTGCGTTATATCACCAACAGGTGTTCACTCAAACTATTTTATGGCTGTTTGCCGTGATTTTAACGCGATACTGCGGTCTGCTTTTATTGGACCATAGTAACTGACTATTCCCCTGCACTTTGTTAAAGTTCACGTGTGCGGAATTAACACAGGAGTTGCGAACGCAGTAGCGTTCGCAGTTATCAAATAGATGCAAAGACAACAGAACGCGGGAAGTCGATAACACTCACTGTGTATTATGGCAATGATCACGTACAGCCCATCGGTCATGGAGTTGAGATCAGTTAACCAGTGGGTGAGCGATGACCAGACATTTACACGCGCGCGTATGGACAGCCAATGATGGGTGTACAATAGTGATTCGGATGCCACGCACCATCGAAGCCACCCTTAGGAGGTGGTAACGATCTGGGTGACTATTAGCTCCAAAAAGCAACCACAAGTGACCTTGATTTATGGATCGTTGGTCCATTTCTATTGACATTGCCTATAGACCTTACGAATTGTTTCCGACTTTGAGTGTGTACGTGTGATCTTTCCCCCGGACTCAAACTTCACAGCCTGTGAGTAATAAGGCACAAACTAACAAACTTACTTCAGATTGACTGTTGTCACTTGCGTAACGAATGACTTGGTCCCATACAGCCCTGCTGTCCCCTCCCCGAATTGGATTTGTCCTGTGTTTCAGACCACCGGACCAAAGACTAATAGTTGATGTTTTCAAAGGACAACCCTCTACTTTAAGAGCCTCCACGAATTTCCGACATCACTAGTTATCCCCACACCAATCTCACATGTACTAGGGAAAGTGAACTGCCTTTAAAATTGGGCATGCCATTTTCGATTGCTCCATTTGATATCCACACCTAGACAGCAAGTGATTACTGGTTGGAAGCAGCAAGTAGAGTTTGCTCTTTGTAGCTGCATCTAATGTCACTCAGGGTCAAAGACCCGTTGTGTTGTGTTGCGCTCAATATATTTTGTGTCGTCAAAGTGTTTGTCCAGGAGCTTCTTAAATTCCGACACCGACTTTGTCTCAACTACGTGCTGCAGCAGGCCGTTCCATACATTCACCACTCTGCGTTCGAAACAGGGTTGATGAGTGACCCACTTCAAATCCCGTACGACAAGCTTGTACCGGTGTCCTCGTATGCTGCTTGGTGTGCGCAGATGAATCAGCGGTCTCAACATGCGGTGATCTCCCAGATGTAATATCCGGTACGTCATTATGAGGTCAACCCGCATTCGACGGTAATCTAGGGTGTACAGCCCTAGTTTCTTACACCGGTCTACTGTTGCTTTGAACTCGGTCGGTGTTGCTAATGTGTCTCTGAAGTGCGCTCATAGCGCACTAGAATTCGTTTGCGAGTTGATCATGTCTGCTCCGAGCATGATCAGTCGATCTGTTGCTCTTCCTTTGGTTTCAGCTGTACTACCACGTTCGCCCGCGTAGGGCTCGTTTGGTATAAATCTGGATTTGGAGTTTCAGTTCTTACCAATGGGCAAGGTGAAAGTGCTCATTGTTGGTTACAAACCACCACCCTGTGCTTTTCAGGGTCTTTCGAATCCACTTGCTTTTCTGGCTTGGAATATTCGATTAGAACTATTTTTTGAATCTCGTTGGCGTGGTTAGTATGCGCATGGTGATCCTGCATTGAGGTTGGTTTCAGCGTTCTGCAGTTTCATTAGACAGTACTCTACTAGGATTTTCGATACAATAGGGTGATGGGGGTTAGCACATCATCGGGAAATGGGAGAGACCAGTACCATTGAAATCAGCCATCTAGTTTGGCAGCTCGTCTGATGCACTGATTTTGTATATTACTCTATGGGGAACCAATAACTATCGTGAAAATTTGTTTTACTCTAATACACCTCAACTTGTGCTTTTGGCCGAACACTTCGCAGTGCGATTCCACCGAGTTGTCCGCAAAGTCATCTGAAACCTGAAGCCAGCCAACCTATCTGTGATTTTTAGAGATACTTCATCACGATCCACTCCCAATCAGCAGGCTTTGGCAGGTCTGGAAATGCACCAGACTGCGTTGGTTCGACATTTTGGGTCTCGTCACTGGTGCACCTTTTAGCGGCCTCCTGCCGGGTTCCGCCCCCATGACTACCGGATGCCAGCAGCCAGTGCCACTTCGCCGTGGGTGACAGCCGCGGACCTGCATGATTATTTGACTATGATATATCCCGCCTCATCTGCCAATGCTATACCAGTTACAAACTCTGCAGAGGATAGCAGTTAGCCCCACGAGCTAAGATTTTCCACATAGCGCCTTTTACAACATAAGGACTTAGAAACTGTATGGACAGATTTTATATTACCAATGAATAGTGGGGATTTGATATACATAGAGATAGTTCATCACGTTCCAGTCTAAGTCAGCAGGCTTAGGCAAGTCTGGGAAAACACCAGACAGCACTGTTTCGACCTTCTGGGTCTCGTCAGTGGTGGTGTGGTGAACTATCTCTAATTATGCCAAACCTCCACTACTCACTAGTAGTAACTGTGATTTTGTCCATCGCATCTATGTATCGATGAATGGAACTTTCATGATATTCTTTTTTTTTCCGGAATCACTGCTGTTAATGTAAGCTCACTAGTCCCTGTGATCTGTCCTGTATACATACAAAGTTCTGCTTGGCGACTCATGAACCACCTAGTTGTGCGAACGAACTGCTTTTCTTCGAATCATGTCTAACTGCCGTGCAGGTTACGCTTAATAGATTGACGTAAAACGTAGCGCTTTCTGTTGCATCCCTTATTTCCATACGTGAAGTCACTGCTATGAGAGTTTACCTACTGCTAGTTCTCACTGCCACTGCACATCCACTTGAGATGGCCAATCGGTTTTTTAATTTTGGTAAGTGTACGATCTCTGACAGGTAATTTCTCGAATTGGTTACCGAACCATTCTATGGCGCTTTGCTTAATCTCAATCAAATAGGGAGATGGCGCTGTCATCTACATGCGCACCGCATGATGCTCAAACGCGGCCACTGTGGAAGGGAGGGATATAGCGAATTCGCACTGGGGGCACGGCGACATTGATGGTTTTTTCTTATCCATGATTTTATTACTCATTCTCCATTAAATCAGCCATTGGTAGTTGGCAACCGATGCTCTAGTGTTGCTGCACCTTGCCTCTGGGCTCGAACTCTGCGCCGGTTAGGTCACATTCCTCAAAAACGGTTGACCACATATCTGCTCATCGATTGATTGTCAACACTGGTGGTATTACGACGAAACCGCAAGATAGCCAACTGATGGCATGACAGGATGAGGTTTTTTGATCGGCTACATCAGTGATCAGTGTATCTTTGGATACGCCTCGCTTGCGAAGTCCTCGTTTGGCCCATTGATTCTGACTCCCAACCGGCGATAATTGCTTTTGATCAGATTCACGTTTCCGCAGCTTGGTACCGCTTCTGGGAGTTAGATGATTGTTAAAGCAATGTTGCACAAGTGTAACCAGCATTAATTTTCATTGCCCTGATCGCTAGTACAGACGACGCGGCATCAGCTTACAAATTAGTGGCAAGGTGTGGAGTACGATCGGTGTTACTCTACTGACCAACGACTTGACCACTGTCGATACCTCTGCGTTTGATCTCCGCTGTTTGCTAACCACCACTCATTCTCTGCTAGTCCACCAGGTCAGTAATACCGGCGCCAATCGCTGGCTAAACTCACAGTCTGTGTGTATCTCTCTACAA